ACCACCACAGCTGAGTGAAGGGATTTCACCGGAAAAGAACAGGTCAAATTCTAAAAATAATACTAATACGGAACCATTTTCTGACGGATTATAGGTCATCGTTTCCCCCAGTCCTTCATTAAATCAGCAACTATGTACTAGCTGTCACTTGCCAGCCACCATCCTATGAAGCTGGGGGATTACAGCAGTGGACACAATAAACTGTGTGTCCTCATGCTGTATTTTCTAATTGAAAGAAACAGATGGTAACACACACACACACACACACACACACACTCACACACACTCCTGGCAGTGGTGAGTGCAATAAGGGACTAAAAAGGCAGAAGAGAGAGGGGCAGGAATTGCCAGCAGTGAGAGAGGCGCTGTCTGGAAGGGGTCAGGAAGCCCTCCCTGATGCGGCGACACTGAAGGGCGCGATGAGCTAGGTCCGGCAGGGGTGGGGCCGGCTAGGGAGAGACCTCCTGAGCAAGGTGAGTGGGCTGGAGAGCTCCCCAGCAGAGGGCAGAGCGGTGCTCTGAAAGGGACAGGAAACCTCTAGAGGGTTTTAGGCAAAGTAATGACGTAATTAAAACAAAGCACTGCGGCGGCTGTGCTGACAGAGTCTGTGAAGAAGCTGGATGGAGTTGGACCCAGAGACCAGTCAGGGTCTCGTCCAGGCGATTTCGCAGGGGCAGTGACAGCTCTGGCCAGGGGTGGGCAGTAGAGGTGCTGGGCTCCCAAACTCATTTTGAAAGAAGAGCCAAAGGGTTCAGGGGTAAACCGGAGACAGAGGGTATCGAGGATGACTTCGGGAGGTCCGAGTTAGTAGCTGGGGGGATGGACCAGAAGAGAGGGGAGGTGTGCTTCTGAGAGGTGAGGGGGTGACTCGGAAGTCTGGGGCTAAAATGAGCAAATCAGGAGACTCTAGATGCTGGCGAGGATGTGGAGAAACGGGAACCCTCCCACACAGTTGGTGGGAATGTAAACTGGTGCAGCCCCTCTGGAAAACAGTGTGGAGGTTCCTCAAAAAATTAACACTAGAACTCCCCTATGACCCAGCAATAGCACTGCTAGGAATTTACCCAAGGGATACAGGGGTGCTGATGCATAGGGGCACATGGACCCCAATGTTCATAGCAGCACTCTCAACAATAGCCAAAACATGGAAAGAGCCTAAGTGTCCATCAACGGATGAATGGATCAAGAAGATGTGGTTTATCTATACCATGGAATACTATATGGCAATGAGAAAGAATGAAATCTGGCCATGTGTAGCAACGTGGATGGACCTTGAGGGTGTTGTGCTGAGCGAAATAAGTCAGGCAGAGAAGGACAGATACCATATGTTTGCATGTATAGGAGGATTAGGAGGAACTTAACGGAGGACCATGGGGGAGAAGAAGGGGAGAAATGGTGGGGGAAAGGGAGAGAGGCAAACCATGAGAGACTCTTGAATGCTGAGAACAAACTGAGGACTCATGGGTGTGGGGGGGGAGGGGGGAGATGGGCATGGAGGAGGGGCACTTGTGGGGATGAGCACCGGGTGTTATATGGAAACCAACTGGACAATAAACTATCTGTAAAAAAAACAAAAAACAAAAAAACAAAAAAAAGGGAAATTAGGCCACCCTGTAGACATGCGGCACCCACTGCAGCTTCTGGGCTCGCTACCCTCAACGCCGAGGCAGCTGAGGAACTGTGAAGCCAGATTCCCCGGCTAACTATCATTGATTTAATAGAGTGGAACTTCTTTTCAAAGAATAATAAGACATGACCATAGGACAGCAATGAACAAAAACACAAAGATTGCAGGCAATCGTTCATCCAATCTGCCCAAAGTTACGCTCCTACAATATAAGGGACTTATGGGTAAGGCTGGTGTAGAAAAAGAAACTGTTCTAGAAAACAATTTAAAATTAGAAAGCAAAATTAGTTTTCTTGGCATCTCCACACGAGGTGATGCTGTTCGTGCAAGTGTAAAACACCAAGCAACCAATCAGCCGCATGCTATCCATGGATGTAGAAATGCACGAACTGAAGAGAGAACCCCGATGTTCAGTTAGCGTCTGGCTCTGTGAGGGAGAGGACTGGAAATAGTGGCCTGATGTGTAATGACTTGCTTAGCTATTTTTTTTTTTTTTCTAAAAAATACACTGAATTAATGAGAAAGACTTGAAGCAAATATGAGAATACATAATAATCAGCTCTGGTGTGAACTCATGGATGCATGTAATACAACTCTTTGTAGTCTTTTTGTATTTTGAAAAAAGAATCAAAATATTTTTATACAAGCACACTAGAATGAATGGAAAATAAGACCACTGGTTTAAAACAACAATTCTTTACTACCTGTATACCTATATTCCAAGCCCATAATAAAGCAAAGGAAGAATAGATGTGTTGGCCTATTCATTAGGAATTGTGAGGTTTCCAGAATGGCATGGCACTTGGCAAAATCCACCTGTATGCTACGATTGACTATTCAGTAAAAACTGTGAAAAAACCAGAGTACACTACTCATAATCACAGGAATTTAAAAAATTTAACCAAGAGGAAAACAAGTAAAATACCAAGTTTTATCAGAAGACCTCTCCTGAATACGGAATTAGAATATCAAGTTTGAGTTATAAGCCGAACCCTGCTTCAAGTGCTTTTGGGACAAGCTGAGGAACAGAAAAATCAAGAGTAGATGAGTAAGTCCATCTGTCAGCCAATGTAAACAATACATGATAACTCATGAAAACCACACTTGATTTTCCTATGCAAATTTAGAATATAAACACTACCTTCCTGTAACTTTAGAGGCTCTTTTGCTGAATTTTTATAAGACAGAGAGATCTTCTTCAAGAAGTAAAACCTGGAGGCGCCTGGTGGCTCAGTCAGTTAAGTGTCCGACTTCAGCCCAGGTCATGATTTTGCAGTTTGTGGGTTTGAGCCCCATGTCAGGCTCTATGCTGACAGCTCAGATTCTGGAGCCTGCTTCAGATTGTGTGTCTCCCTCTCTCTCTGCCCCTCTCCTGCTCATGCTCCGTCTTGTGTGTCTCAAAAATAAACACTAAAAAAAGTAAAAAATAAAAAAAGTAAAACCTATAAATGAGCATATATGGTAATAATACTTTGTACACTTACATGTTTTTCAGACATTAGTATTTCACATTTCTGCTTTGTACCTTTTCTAGTCTATGGGTGATAAACTTGCTCAAACTTACTCATTCCTCCTAGTTTTTTGCTTCTGAATGACTCAGCAAAATAGCAATACAGCAAAGAATAACAAAGCAAATAAATAATAAAGCAAAGGAAACAATCTATTCCCTTCATTATGGTAGTTCACTTACTGCATGATGACTAAGAGCAGAAAATAAACCAACAGTCTGTATCAGAGGTGAGTTATAATTAATTCTATTAAATGTGTCAATGTGCCAGTGTGTTTAAACAAAGACAATACATAGAATTCAATTTCTGGCAATTCAGAAATCAGCTTTTAGTAAATAAGGTCCTAGGACAGAAAAGTTACCTATACAGTAATGTGATATGCACTTTTCAACCCTGCTTGCCAGGAAGTTACCCCAAACATCTATCAAAGCATCGTAGGTGTCTAAAACACTTAACAAGCACCTTATTGTCCTAAATTTGTTACGATTACCTTTTTCTCTATCAAGGATGTATCAGTTTATTCCCAAAAAGGAGTTAAAGGCAATCCTTTCCATGTGCTTAAAATACTGAAACATATCAGCTGTACCGCTTAAAACGTGAGTCACTTCCTCTGCATATTTAGAATTAAGTTCAGGCTGATTCATTTAGTGCGCTACTGTTAGCTGGAATTAAAAGCGTTTGACTTTTTACCTATATTTACAATGATGTGCTCACCACTTACTCTTTGGGAATTTTCTCCATACCAAATTAATGCATATTAACTGAGACACAGCAAGCAGGTAAATGTCTAAGTTAGGGCACTTTTCAAAAACAGGAGGACTTTTTTTTTTTTTTTTTTTTTTAAAGAAAATGTATCTCTTGGATAAGTTCTTGGGTTTATGTAAAAAAAAAAAAAAGTCTTACAAAAGAAGAGTTCTACTTCCTAGTTAGAACAGAAAAACGGGTTTATTTTCCCTCAAAATTGGTTAGAGATAAACACTTAGATTTGTTAACTCTGTTATGAAAACCACCAGCCAACTTTTTCAAGATGACCAACATTTTGGGGAAGCAAACAAATGTTGTAATCCACAAACATTCCCAGAGTGGCTGCTATGCGCAAGGCCCTGCTCTAAGGGCTGTGAGTGCAGCTAGGATCGCTCCGTCATTACTTCTGCTCACGGTCTGCTTAAAAATCTCCAGGAGGGGGTGAGGTCAGCATGTAAATAATCCAAAAACGAGGCAGAAAGGGAGTCCATGCTTTCAGAGAGCGAACTCGAAAATACGACAGGAGCTGAGAGAAGAGAAAACTTGTTTCCCACAGCAGGGGAGGGGAAAATCAGAGAAGCCTTCATGGCAGCAGTGGATCTGAGCTAGACCTTACACCCAAGTATGATTCTGTCCAATGCGCATCGGGAGCCACGTTTTGCATGGGGGTTGAGGGCGGGGTTTTAAGGGAGGGCTGTATAGGTAGAGAGCCGGATCAATGTCATGTAAGCAGGAAAGGTACGCAGTAGGGCAGGTGAAAGAAGGAGATGAGAAAGAAGGGTGGTGAAGTGGGTGGACACCAGACCCTGAAGGGCCATGAGGATATGAGCTCATCATTTATTCGGTCGGCAAATGGAAACCAACAGAAGATTTGCAGCAGAGTGGTATGACCAGACACATGCTTCAGGAAGATTAATTTAACATCTGTGGGCATGGATGGATGGGAAGGAAGACGAATCAACGATGGGAAAACTGAGTAGAAGTCGACTGTATAGTGTGAATAAGCGGTAATGAAAATCAGAACTAAGCAGGATCAGTGGGGATAGAAAGAAGAATATGGATGCAAAAAAAAATAGTACATCGTAAATAGCATTTATGAAAAATATGGAATAAAGCCTTACCTGATTCTTCTGTATCTTGTTCATCTATTAAACCTACTGAGACGCCTAAATCCACACATTTCTTGCTATGTGTCTTGGACTTCATGTGTTTTGTCAGATTTCCTTAAGGGAAAAGAATGTTTACTAAGCTTATGTAGTATTATTTTGCAGTGGCATTTGTCAACACTGGCAAATTCATTCCTACTTCAAGTGAAAGCACAGACTGTGGTTATACAATTCCAGGACTAAACTTTAGGCAAAATATTGGAATCTGTATGTTGGAATGACCTTGTTATTTATTACTAACCACTTCCCTTTTCAAATCTACTTGGATAATGTCTACTTGAGCCTTTGGTGTCTCTTCTGCTGCCCTTATGTAGTTTTTTAAAATGTTGGACACATATTCAATTTAAAGTCCCTTTTGGATAGCACTAAGATCTGTCGTTCCTGGACTCCAAATTCTCCCCTGCTGTGCCGCCTGGATCTCACTCATGCTACTCTGTTTCCTTGCATGCTTTTTAGGTTTTATTGTGAGCTCATCTTCAGCAAGACTGTTTTCCATGGAGTCTTAAGTACGCTGGGTTGCAGAAATATCTCTACGGGCCAGTTTTCCAGTTGCTTCTACCTGGGACTTAAGGTTTCAGACCTCTGATTCTAGACCAGTTATTTATTTATTTGTTTTGCATGACATAGGTATGGGGTTTTGCTTTTTAGCAGATACGTTTTCTCCCACCTGGTCCAGAGTCCCTGGACTGGAGGGCCAGGCTTATTTCAGAGGCCTTGGACTCTATTCCAGGATTAACATTAAAATCCTTGGGTTGTGGGCATATATCTGGCTTTGCTGTCCCCATGAATGCTTTTATTTTAACTTAACATCCTATTTACTACTATTACTACTACTACTACTACTACTACTACTACTACTACTACTACTGTCTACTCACCATACTAGTATGGAGTTTCTTTTTTATTTGTTACCTGAGAATTTACTTTTTAAATTTCAAGCTTGACTATCTATTAAAAACTACATTTGTATAAACAGTATTTCTGTTATTTGGAACGTGGGAGAATTTCTTGCATGAATTTCATTTCACTATAATGACCAGAAGTCTCACAATAATCTCTCTAAAGATGTGTTCGCTTTGGCTGCTAATGTAGCTAAGTATTATCAGGTTCACTGGGACCCACTGGGGACATTTATCCTGAAGTGATCATGAATGCAAGGGAAGAGCTCAGATTTGAAGCACACCAGGCAGTTTCAGTGCATGATGCCACGCACACATAAAAACTGCCAACAAGAGAAAACGTCTCTTTTGAGAAAACAAACAAAATCTAAATACTTAGCTTGGCGACCAGGGGCAAATTCATATTTGAGAAGCATTTAGAAGAGTTAAAAATGTCTGAATCCTTGGTCTTAACTTTGGGCTTGCAGTAGCTGAAGGGCCTGTGAAACTGCTGTATCTATAGAGCCTCAGTACCACTAAAAATTCCCTAAGTACGGAGAACTGGTCACGCTGTTGCAGCCGATTCTTGCCCTAGATAGTGCGCACAGCATCATAAAGCTTAAGGGGCTCAAGTGTGAGAGGCTGCCTGGACTAGACAATATCTAAGCCCCAGCAAACCCTGACTTCTGTCATTCCAGAGATGACACCTGGCTTGGGTGGCTTGGCCATGTCTGATATTTACTTCAAATACACTTAAAAAACAACAACAACAATAAAAACCATGAAGTAAATATGGCAAAACGTTAACAATCAGTAAATGCTGGATTGTTATATTGGTGTTCATTATACATATCTCTACTTATCTGTAAAGTTCAAAATTTTCATGTGAAAAAGTTGTAAAAAAAAAAATGGTTTGGCCATGTTAACATGGCTTAAGTTTCCACTTACAAGTCAAAGTACTTCCTAATACAATAACAATATTACAAACCAAATTACTTTACTCAAAGTGCTTTTGTTCCCTACATGGACAGCCACAGAAGGTTATTTGCCTCTTAGGGATGTTCATGGATAATTATAACCAGACAGATTTGGGACTATAAGCTTTTAATAAGCGTGTTTTCTCATAATGAAGCTATTGTTTATTATTAAGTGACTTCTTAAATAAGTTAAAATAAACAAAACGATTCGCATTTTAACATGCAAAACAGATGCAACTATGCCCCAGCAATGCCACAAACCCTGTGCATCAACTTCATGAGTAAGTTATTTTCACGGATTTAATAAACATTAGTCTAAACCCTCTGGAAAGCTCGTGAGGTTTTGCTTCTGGGCTCCTAGGGCTACACAGAGAGTCCAGCTTTCTGTGACATAAACGGTAGTAAATCCTGCAGGCAGGCAAGCTCACTGTATCTTTTCTGCAGACTGACCTTTAAAGCAGAATAGTGAAAACAAATCAATTAACATTCTTTTGAAAGTGTCCTCGTGAAACAGATTAAGAGGACAAATGACAAGGTAGAGATTTATGGGCGTTAGCCGTCAGAAGCATCAATTTCTAGCACTGCAGACTGGTTACCTAGCAGCAGCGTGCTGCGTCTGCGTGCCCGTATTCAGGTAGCATCCCATTACGTCACTGTCTTTCCGTTACCATCCAGACACATCCAATGAGGAGTCGAGCTGCACTGGCTGGACAACAGAGTACATCAAGGACGACAAAATCTGCAGCCTAACCTAGAAGCAAGTCTACTGTCACGTGGCTGATGTTTAAAAGATGCTGTGGAATGTGTTTTACAGACATTCACAAAAGGAAGACTTCTACAAGGAAGCCGACCCATAAAATCCAGAACTGTCATGCTGAGAAGGGGGAAATCCTGAATTTCTAGTAGTTTCTTCACCAGTCTCCTGAGCTAGGGTCACTTCCCTCAAATACGTATTTCTCACGTAGCTGCAATGGATTATCTGACAAACAAAGCATCTAACGTACATTCAGATGGGCAGCATATCCGAGAAGCGGAAGACACGAAAACTGCAAAGATGTAATGCTCACTCTTCGGGGGTCATTATGCTCTGTCCGCGTCTTAGGTAACATTTATCTAAACTTCATGTGATGCTGTTTGGAGTTGTTTCAGTCAGATTACTATTTGGTGATTCAGAGTATTTTCCTGGGTCAAGAAATCTCTGCAGTTTTGTTTGGTTTTTCTACACCTAAGGGTTCCTTCCTTTCTTGCCCTCATTTTATGAATATAATTTTTTAAGTATCCTCATTCCTTTTCTTCTGTTTACTGAGAAACACCCATTACACATGTACACCTTGATTGTTTATTGAGCAACATTATTCTGTACTTGGTAATCTTTTCTGAGTAATAATGGCCTATTTCTGGTCTCCTGGTCGCATACTGGAAATTACCAGATATTGCCTCATCTCGGGATCAAAGCCAGTGAAACGGCAATAAATGGGGTTAAGAGATCACAGTACCTTCTCCTATCAAAGCCTGTACACAAGACCAGGAAAGGCATCCTGAAACTCACCCTCCACTTCCAGAAGGAGAATCCACACCACAACCAGAGGACTCCAGACCGTGAACCTCCCAACTACTCATGATGTCCCGAAGCTACTCAGAGCTACTGGCTTTCTAAGGAGGGCTCATCTGAATGTTTACTTGCTACGTATCATAACTCTCCTTAAATGCCAATAAATGCTAGCCAAATAATGCAGTAAATTTTGCTGACGACTTGCTCAGTCTTTAAAACAAAACCCCTGAAGGCAGCCAATATAAACAGAAAAAAAGTGAACGTTCACTCCAAGGGAATAAAGTTTCTGTAAAAAAAATCATCAATTAAGTACTTTTTACAGGTATTACACTTTCAGACAGAGAACTGTAGGATGACACTGTTTTCTTTTAGAGAGATTTTTTTCAAAGGGTGGTAGGAAACTCAAGTCTCAAGCAACAAATTTTTATGTAATGATTCATGAGCAAGGAGTCTAATGGAGAGAGTGAGCCTTATTTTTTAAGTAGTGTCCTTGTTATATGTAGGAAATCTGGAAAGGGTAAAATTACCTTAACTATAATACTTGCAATTTAAATAAAAAACATATAAAGCATACAGAAAGAGCACTAAATATAATTTTAATGACTAGTTCTGAGTTCTGTGCACACTAAAGAGTACAACAGACAGTTTTTGAAGCTGAAATTCAATAGAATTTGGGTAAAAAAACAAAAAGCATCATGGAAACAAAATGGCCTCTCATGCCTAAGATTCGATAATAAAACATGAACACAATCATTATCAGTTTATTATTAGTTATTATTTAAACTTTCTCTTCAATCTTAGCACAGAAAGGAGTTCCCTTGCCATCATGAAAATTTTTTTCTTCTTCAGCTCCGAAGTATTTTTGAAATGTATTAGTCATCATGTTATGCAACTCTAATTTGGGGAGTGAAATAAAAAAGGGCAGTTGCTCCTTTTAAAATGTTATATTCATTATATATGTTGTAAAAGTATATAATTAAAAAAAAAAAAACCAGCTTTTTTTTTTCTTTCCTGAGAGGTCTTGGGGCATATAAAAAGACCTAAGGCTACTGTGTTGACAAGATGTAATTTATATTAGTCTATTTAAGCTACTGCATCCTTGGTCAAAGACTAGGTAAAGTTGGGTCTTAGCTCTACTAAATGCATATGAAAAGGACCACCTAGCAATGCCATTTCATACCTTTCGTCTTAAAGGAGAAGTTACAGTAAGTGCAGTGGTAAGGGCGGACATCTGTATGGGTCCGAATGTGTTTCTTTAACATACTAGGTTTCTTACAACGTATTCCACATTCTTCACAAATGTACTTTCCTCTTCCCCTGCCTCGGACATATACATACTCTTCATTTGATTTATATCTAATTTAAAGAAAAAAAAATGAATAGGGAGATTGGATACTAGGTCTTCGAGAAAATACCGATGATTAGAATTCAGCTTACAAAATACAAGAAGTCACAATTCTTATTCTCAATCAATATAAGTTTTATGCACACGTAAGTATCAATATTCAGCTTTTTGCAACAATATTTAATATGCAAACAGCTAATTCTGACCACACCACTTTACTCGATACCAGGTTAAATTTAGAACAGAAGGTACTCCCTTTCTCAGCCACTGGTTCCAAAGTTTTCCTCATTATTAAATTCAATTACAGCAACTCCAAGTACCGTAAGTTTTTTTGGCTTCACTAGAACCATAATCAGCTTTTTACAATGTGTTTTTCTCATAACCGAAAACACAGAGACATCAAATAGGCAGTGAATTTGTCTCTCTTAGAGACATCAAACAGGCAGTGAATTTGTCTCTCTTGAGCGGACTTCCCAAGGTGCTCCTTATTGTAAATCAACATGAAACCCAGAGTTTACTCTGAAAACAGTTCTTAGCTGCCTCCTAGGACCTACGATGTTTCCTAAATATTTTCTCCATCAAAATGGATTTAACATGACATCTAGCAAGTATTTTGCCATGAAGATTCTGTTAATAAGCGGAGAAACCTTGTAACATTTATATAAAATTGGCAGTGGTTAAGTTTTCATTCACATGAAAGCAAATGTACATTTAAAAAGTAAGTTTAAATGTACATTTAGAAAGTAAAATTTGTACTTGCCCTCCATCAAATATTTTAATTCTTCTTGGTTCACTTTTGATTAAGGAATTTTCTTTATCTTGCTCACTGTTAATTTCAGAGGCATCTTTATTGCTGAATTCAACTACTGTGGACTTTTGATTACCTAATGCTCTCTGAAAGGGAAAAAAAAAAAAGAGAAACTAATTTAATAAAACTGAAAACACAAACATGCTAACGTTTCACTTGGAAATTAAAACATGGCAGAGTACCGTACGCGTAGTTAACTTAATGGAATGCATTTCAAGGAAATAACGTGTTTAAAGGTCATTTGCTCTCTCCCCTCCCTTATCTTTAACCTATCTGTCTGCACCACTGCGAACTGAAAAATCGTACACTGTTTTAAGATCCCACCACAGTCCCCTGCCGGATCATTCACGCTACACTTTATTTCTTAAACGAGCTTTATTCTTCAGAGATGGGAAAGAACCAGTTACCCCTTTTGGTGTAATAATGTCTCATACACCTGAGAAACTGACTGCATTCCCTGCCAATGTCAGTGGACTGTAAATGGACACTTCTGTTCAATCAAAAGCCCATTTGCCAATATTCTCCCCTTCTCCTACCATCTTAAACCGTAATTATGTTTTGTCTCTGTATCTTCTCAAAAGTTCCTGAATGCTCATAACGGTGACATACAGGCAGGTTGGAGGTTAGACTGTGGACTGGTAATAATTAAATGTCTAGAAAATGGGAGCACACATCGGCATGACAAACAGTGTGTGCTCTGCCTTTGGAACATTAGAGTGATGGCACCTTAGGGTTTCACAAGCGTCCACTTCCTCAGCCCCTGCCATTCTCACGTACCCTGTGAGGCCAGCAGCACAGGATCTAGCGTGGAAGGACACCCTCAGGGTGAAGTCTCTCGTCCAAGGTCAAGCTTAACAGCAAAGGCTCAAACTCTAGTCCTCTGGCCAAATCCAACGTGGGGCACAGCTTTTCCGATCAAGTGACCTCTTTGTTACAAACCTTTAAAAGCCACATCCCCAAGCAGACGGCTCTGCACCGAGATGACTGGATACTAGCAAATGAGAGAGTGTGCGCCAGGGGCAGGGGTGTCGCGCAGCCTCAGAAGGCGCTCGCTGGGGAGCTGGGGAAGGCAGTACAAGGAGTAATGACACTGACCCTGGCAGGCAGGAAGGCTTCGGGCTCCTCTCGTCCTGGCAAACACACCAGGTTTCCCCACAATCTGGAATGCATACGCACAACTTCCCTGGACTTTATGCTGTTAACACTAATTCTACCCTTTACCTTCTTTTCAACACCAAATTCCCATTTCTCTGTTGCTCACTCTGTTGCCATCGAATCTGGCTTCGGTTCACCAGTTACCAATGAGCTAACCACCCAAAACTGTATCCCTTCCTTGGTCTTTACATGCTTGGTCACCGGTGCGGTTTATGTTGTTGACACCTTGCGACCCTTCCGTTTCAGCACCTGTCTTTCTTTTCCGTCCTTGATTATAAGTACAATAACATCTGGGTTGTGAGTCAACCCAGTGTCTGGTCCTCCACAGCCACCTGCCCAGACCCCCAAGTCACCAGCCATATTAGAACCACTCAGTCCAGAAAAAAATGTCAGTCTTCATCTTAATGTGACCTGTATTTGACATCCCCGTCTGAGTATCTTTCCAGGAAATTCCTCCTTGATCTATGTGATAGATACCACTGTCTCTCCCAGTCCTCATCTTTCCTCTATGAACAACCTCTCTCAGTTTCCCGTGAGGACTTTCTTCATCCATTCAACCCTCTGGGGAACTCCGAATCTAAGTACACATTTCCAGAGGTGCTTTGGGAATATTCCAGAAGCTCTCTTTAAATTCTCATGATCAGCTCCCAACTTCCAGAATTTTGATTTTAGTAGGTCTAGAGTAAAGTCTGGGCATTTAAAAATTAAATTTTGAAAGGTTTGCCTGCACCCGCCTTCATTGAAAAAGTATCAATGGCTCCCCACTGCCATGCATAGTCTTTGGTTTTTATCTATATTCCAACTGGGAAGCATGTCAGTGCTTCAGACTTACACCTTCTAGCAGGGGCAGGCTCCTCATGATTCGTTAAAATGAACTGAGTTCTTTATCAGGTCCATGTCATGTCAGCAGACTATTAAAATTTCTCATTCTTGTTTACCTGAAACAAAAATCTCTACTTCTTTTTTTAAGATTAGACTGAAATATCACCGCTTTTGGAATTTCTTCCTTGTATCCATACCTCTTTAACCTACTGGCAAATTTAGAGACTTCCTTCTTAAAACTGCATACCCTATATTATAATTGTAATACTGCAACATTTTCTTACTGACAAGCATATGTATATGTGTGTGTGTATACATATGTATACACACGTATGTATATATGTATGTATGTATACATATGTATACACATATGTACATATGTATATACGTGTGTGTGTGTGTGTGTGTGTGTGTGTGGCTATGAACCTGCACTGTATGCTCGTGAACCTGCAGAGGTCATGGACTTAATCTATAATTCTTAATGTCCAGAGTACACCATGATCCCCTTACCTATTTATTTATTCTCACTTAAATGATTTTTCCCATTTTATAAAGCTGATGACTCTAATAACACCGATTCCACAAATAACCCAAATTTACAGTTTTATGACCCTATTCTATACATCTTGACCAAATCAACTTAAATATCAAGCGTATGAGTCAGCTATTCTGTGACTCTTCTCTCTAGTACTAAGATGATTCTAACACTGGGCGGGAGTTGGGACGAGCATGGCCAGGGGAGGGTAGTCAGGTGCGCAGAAGACAAGTACGAGTGGCTCTCTGCCTACGTTTCAGAATGAAATGCAACAGTCTTTGATTACTCACACCTCCGTTCCCCTGCACCAGCACGGACAAAACACAAACATAATCTCCTTCCACTTCATAGAAGAGTAAGGTGAAAATAGAACCATGATTATCTGCCCCATTACATAAGGACTTAAACTTTCTGCTTATGGCAAGTTAGTTTCAAAATCTTTCAAGATAGAATCACTGGAGGATCCCACCTGACACTTATCAGTCTAACTCCTGGGGTAAACTTATCATCCTTTCATTTGTTTAACTTTATACTTACACAGCACAATTTGTCACTCAAAATTAAGATACAATTTCCAATGAAAACATTTAAAGGCATCAAGACAGTGCACAGACTATTTGTGAAGATAAATGATAGGTCAAGTACCTTGCTTGAGTTGCTTTTCCACTTGCTTGAATAGACCAATAAATCTGATTTGGAATGCGTAGTTATTGCTTGACAATATAGTGATTTTCCAGTCTTCTGTTTCGAATTAAGGAGTGAAAGAGCAACTTTTGTAGGCAAACCAAGTGGGTTTGGATTACTGGCACTAACTGTCCAATCAGTATAGGCTGAAGTTTTCTGGTCATTCTGAGGCAAATGCAATGCCTTCTGCCTTAATAGGTAACACCACGTAAAGTTGGTTGAGGTCTTCAGGCTGGGGAAAGGCAGCTGCTGTGTGCCTCCTGCATCAGACTCTAAAAATGTCACTTGACTTTGGTCTTGGATGCTCTCTTTGTCGCGGCAAGTTTTAACCTCTGGGGACTTCCTTTCTTGGTTACTGTCTACACATTCCAAAGGAGAAATGTAAGTATCTTCTGCAGGGACAGGTGAATTTCTCACTGTAAGGGTTAGTGATGAGGAGGACTTGGTGTTTTCAAATTCCTGTAGTTCAACGACAGGTTCTTTAACTACAGGCTTAGAGTGTTCGGATGACAAATGATCAGCAGGTAGAACATCTGTCAAACTAACAGCCTTGCTACTAATTTCAGGTTGAGAAAAAATATCCTGTTCTGATAGTGCACCGTCGAGAGGCTCTGTAGTACAAACCTGCCTCACTAAGACAGGTTTCTTCTGTTTACTAACTTCACTAGGTCTTGAACTTGCTGGTTCAAATGGTCTGATCTCTGTCATACAAACAGCCCCGTTCTCATCTTTAGCACGCTTCTGGTGCTTTTCCATGGCAATGTCTAAACTATTTGCTGGGGAAAGCATCCTTTTACTTGACACTGAAGATTCCTGCTGGGGGGAGAGCCTACCGACAGACATTTTCTGGGTCATGGGCAAAGAGTCCGACGGAGGAAAACTGTGGCCCACCTCCGAGAAAACATTCTCACAAACAGGTTCTGCTTCTGGGTTTGACAGAGCATTCTGGTGATCCTTTTGCAATTTTGGCACGGAGTTTTGTTCTTCGCTGACTGGCACCATGCTACAATTAGCCTGGCAGATTGGCTGGTTGGATAGGTCTTGGGTTACCAGGATTTGTGGCAGAGGCGTGACTGGGGCAAAACAGTACGCTGGAACGTTACTCTGCAGATGCACGGGCAACGCAAATGACGTGGGCACCTTCTGCGCCGGCCCGCCGAGCTTCAGGGGTGGGGGAGCACACGAACTCGACATGGCATCCAGTAGTTTGGTTGGTAATGCTAACGAAGTCCCACGGTGGTCGGCCCCAACCGGATCCGAGAGAACTTGCTTTGGCAAAGAAAGAACAGGACTGGAAGCACAAGACTGACTTGAAGTGAAAACCTGACACTGAAGTTGGTACTTAGGAGCAAAGCAACCTTTACTTTTAGAAGACACACATAAACTGGGATTTGCATCTGGCTGAGCACTCTGTGTAGACACGTGCAGAGATGGCTGTGTGTTTTGTTGGCTAAGGGGGGTGTGGATCGGATTTAACACGTTGATACTGAAAAGCTGTTGAACAGGGAAGATGTTAGTAGGGGTGGCACTGGAGGTTTCTGTTCGCTGATCCTTAACTTGAGTGTGGGAGTGCAAAGGGTTTGCAGGAAACTCAGATAACGGTGCATTCGTGAGCTGAGGGCCCTGAAATGGTGCTGTGTTCACACTCGCAAGAGCAACCGTTTGGAAAGATGGTGGGTTCCCAGGAGACACACGACTATCTGGGGCTAAGTTTAAAGATATCTGCCGCATCAGCGGGCCCCTCCTTCTTTCTATGAGAGGCACGTGCCCAGTGACCCCCACGCCAGAAGGGGATGTCAGGGGCTGCAATTCAACAGGTGGTGCTGTCTGGGGTGGAGTTATGCTTCCACAGTCAAATGATTTGCTTCTGAAATCGGAGACCTCCATCGACGTTTGCACACAGCTAATGTGTTCTGAAGCAGCGCGCCTCATTTCTCGGTGAGTTCCAGGAACGCTGAGTGTGTTCGAGCCAGCTGGAATCACGAGAAACTCCGCTCGGTTTAGAAAATCCATTTTGGGGGAAGCCTCCGTTTTAGAAACATCCTCAACATCTAACGAAGCTGAGAAACTCGAAGTGTGAGATAAACTACTCTCCCTGCTCAGGCTCCTGGACAGAGTGGAGTCAAAACTCGATTCTGTGGAGGAATGCTCCATCTCGGCAAGGCGGAGCCTCTTCTTTTTGGGTGGCAGTTTCTCGGTTGGCAACTTTGACAAGGTTTCGCTGCGCTGAGGCCAACTGAACTTCTCTGACTTTTCCTGGTCGTAGCCTTGGACTTCGAGGTCCCGATCTGGCTCTTCTGTGACCAGAATTTCTGGGACTTGGATGTTGTGCTGCCGAACGAGCCGGGAGGGCTGTCCCAACATGTGCCGTTCACTTGAGCTCTTCCTGGGACCGTCCTGAAGTTCTCCTCTCAGAGCGTCTGATGACGCCGCAGGCTGGTGAAGATGGGACATATTCTGAGGCGGGCGGCCTTCCTCTGGGGAGATCCCTATTACTTTCAGAGACGCGGGCTTTGCAGTCCTATTCAGCTCTTGGAAGGAGACCGGGGAACCTCTTTCAAAAGACTCCAGCTTGTCGAATGAGCTGGGTCTGCTCAGTGAGTTTGTATGCTGAATGACCGAGATTCCGGTTCCGTGCCTCTTCGGCTCTGTGTTGTCCTGGGCAGCTGAACTTACATGTTGCTCCATGATGGTAGACAGCTTGGGATCGATGGTCTGGTTGGGGCCTCTGGCCACAAGCTGGATTTGGGAGTTTTGCAGCTGTACCTTTCTATGCTGCTGGTCACTCGTTATTGCCATGTTATGCTTCGACAAAGTGGAGGCAGGGCCCAGGGAATTCTGGAACTGCAGGCCTTCAGAGCTTTTTGGGGAAGCCCCCCTTTCGTTTTGCTGAAGTTCATCGTCATCTCCAACACTTTTCATTTTCCTCCGTTTCCTGATCTGAGGTGTCTGCTCCCACACTCCTGCTGGGCCTGCAACTCGGTAGTGTAGGATCTGAGGCTGCGTACCGGCGGGCGCGGGGCTGTGTTCAGGTTCCCTGACGGCCACCTTTGTTTTTGGTCCGTGTAACTCTGAACAGTAAAACTTCTTATGGTTTTCAAAGTTCTCCAGCTTTCTATACCTGTTTCTGCAGGTTTCACACTCAAACATCGTCCCTCGCCCTTGATGGGACTTCTTTTTTTCCATATGTGAGCCTGAGGCCAACGACTTGGCCCTCTGCGGCCCCATGTCACTGGTGGTACCACATCCTGGAGAGCCCTCATCCAAGGACTGCCCAGTGCCGAGAAGGTGGTTTTCACTTGCCGAAGAGTCTTCCACTGCTGACTGTCTGACAAGGGTACGCGGGTGGGCACTCTGAGGCACGGATGTGTTAGGTCCTGACACGAAGACATCATCGTAGAAAGCGCCGATTTTGTCGTCAAATGACTGGCTTCCTCTCAGCGGGTGAGGGGGTGGTATTACGCTCGCAGGTACTGCGGAATAGCCTGTGGTAGGCATAGAGTTACTTCTTGTAATGGGCAAGCAGTCAAGGGAAGGTACAGACAGAAGAAAGACTTGCTTTGATTTCTCGGTAGGGGTGAAAGGGGACTTTGGTATATCTGAGCTTGAGCTCGTTCTCCGTCCCATTGGTTTCAAATCGAACTGAAAGGAATCTTTAAATATGTATGACTTGGGAGAATCAATACTCCCTCTCCTCGAGAGAGAGGTTCTCCGTGGCTTTACGCTGTCCAGTTGCTTATCATCTACCAAGGCTTCGTTGTCTGAGATCAGCTTTGATATCCGTTCTTCAAGGGTTTTTGTGGCCAAGGGTGGGCGCATCTGACCCGGTAAAAGCAATGCTTTTTCGCTTGTTGACAGAGCAGAAGGTGCTGGTGTACTGATCCGAGGTGCAGAGGGCCCACTACTCTTAGTTAAGTCTTGTTCCGTGGCGGGTAACGTTCTGGCAAAGGGAGTCGGTGGACTCGCTGTCTGGTCGGCACTTTCAGAACGCGAAAAGTAACCAGAATCTGTACTTCCTAAACTTCGAGGACTCAGAAGCTTTCCTTGCTGCTCTTGCGAGCAATCGGTGGCCTGCTGCCTTTGTAGTTGCGCGTGTGCTGTTCCCACGTGAGGCTCTTGTTTCCCTTCTGCCTGACTCCCTTCCCCTTTCTGACGCAACTTCTCGTCAGTCTCAAGGGAGGATGCCCAGGCTGGGTGGGACAGGACATTGGTTCCCTGAAGGTCCTTCGGTTTCTGTGCACTAGACAGTTCAGGCTTGCATTCCGGAAGCTTTGGGCTATCGACTCGTAACGGGGACACACTGACAGGGTGGACCACGACTTTCGGTAACTCTGTCACAGCCTGGGATTCTGAAGATTTGTCCAGCAGCGGAAAGTCACCTACCACGTGGGCTGGGTTGCTTGGAATGGAACCTGATGTTGGTAAAGCTTCAGGATGTGACATCATTTTCATCATCTGCACAGGCTGCAGGTCCATGGAGACCGGGTCGCTCTGTCTCTCCTCAGCAGCCCCCTCCTCGTCGCTCTCCCCGCTGTCTTCTATGTCTGACTGGATACTAAGTGCTTTGGGGGACTCTTGTGACAAGAACAGACCACCAGCGTCTGGTTGCAAGACAAGACCCAGTTTGATAGTATGTGCATGGGATTTTTTGTGCTTGTACAGATTGCTTTTAGTCTTAAATGAAAATCCACAGGTCACACAGGGATAGGGTCGCTCTCCAGTGTGGGAGCGGATGTGCTTCAAAAGCACACTAGGCTTTGCACAGGCTCTATTGCAATACTCACAAATGTATTTTCCTTGTTTTTTTGGCTTCTGATCTTTCAGAAGAAGATTGCACATTTGCTCCACGCTGTGGTTAACGACAGAGGCGACGGGAGTTGAATTGTAAATTGGCGTGGGGGCTGACGGCGTAGAATGGGCTGGACTCACGGACATCGGTGAGGCAGAGTCCACTGGCTGGTTTGGAGGAGGAACCTGAGTTCTACTGGAAGGTGAAGTCAGACCCACGGCTGATGTCACTGCTATGTGATAAACCTGCTCAAGTTTGGCCTTCTCTTGAGTTTGCAGATTCACCAGGGACCTTGTGAAACCCGAACATGCTGGGAGCTGCGGATTTTGTTGGTTCGGTTTAGAAACGAAGTGTTCGTGTTGGCGATACGGATGAGAAGCTGGCTGAACCATGGCTGGCTCGTTCTTCTGAGGGACAGACACGTGCACTGCGTAAGAGGGGCAAGGAGAAGGCTGCGGCTCAGAGACGGATTCCTGGGGAGTCTGACTTGGGGCATCCAGTGAGCTGCTGTTTAACTGAGAAGGGGGTCGTACAGTTTTATTTGGTCTCAGTTTTTCTATCTTCACCGCGCAAGACGAGCCCTTTTGTGACAAGGTGCTCAGCTCTGGCTCCATTGCCTTCAGTAAGACATCAAATGCGGTGTTTGTGTACGAGGAAGTGGGAGTACGAGTGGAGGAGATACATTCACTATGGTCAGTCCTGGTTTTACTCGATGAAGAACCAGAGTCACATTTTGCATCTGGGAAGCCTGCCTTGGTGGGGTCAGAGCCTTCTGACCCCCATCGGCGCAGTTCGGATGGGTGCTGCAAAAATAAGGGCTTCTTTGGGGACACAGACTCTTGGGATTTGGGGTCCTCGGCAACTACCCCCAGTGTTTCTCCATTGTGTTTGGTAAACTGCTTCCCATTTTTGACGGGACTGGGGTTCTGTTTCTTGTGAGACTCGGAGGCACTCTGAAGAATAGCCAATGAGGATGCATCTGTATTTTGTTTGTGTTTTGCCTGGAGAGGGTTCCTCAGTGGGGATTTTGGTATTTTTTTCAGGTGATTCTCAGCTACGATCTTTTTCCGTTTCACACCTTTAAGTGATTCTGAAGCTGCTTTAATGCCAGCCTCTAGGATTTCTGTTAAAAAAAAAAATTGAAGACGTCAATTGGTAAAATGGTAAGAAGCCAACTATGCACATGTATGTTTTAAATGAAGATGACAATCATGAGAGTGTTATGACAACTAAAGAAAATAGTTTAAGGAAAGCCTATTGTGGAGAAAACTGCATTTTAATGTTCTGGCATTTTTAACAATGTTGATGACCAAAATCAGTTGAAAGGACTGTGTGGAGGAGACCTTAGTGTACATTTCTGAAATTCTGTGTTCCTCCCTTGACCTCCACCCCCGGCTCTAGAACCTGGTCTTTCACAACTAAATTATTCACCTGCTTCACGGTGACAGTTGAGGGCTCTGTCTATATAGCAGTCTGAGATACCTGCTCCAAAAAGAAAATTCAAACTTTTAATGCTGGGTATTTGACTACCTTATCACAGTTTAGTATCTTTCGTTTTTATTTATTTATTTTTTTTTTTAGGGAGAGAGAGGGAGAGGGAGACAGAGAGAGAGAGAGAGAGAAATAGAGAGGGGGTAGGAGAGCGAAAGAGAGAAAGGAGTGTGAGCAAGGGAGGGGCAGAGGGAGAGGGAGAGAACCCCAAGCAGGCTCCATGCTCAGTGCGGAGCCCAATGCAGGGGTCGATCCCACAATCCTAGGGATCATGACCTGAGCTGAAATCAAGAGTTGGATGCTCAACAGACTGAGCCATCCAGACACCCCACATTTAGTATCTTTTAAGGCAAACTTCTCGGCCACTTTTAAAGTAAGCATATTCTAAAATATCCAACATTGCTATTTTTGTGAGAAAAAAACCCTAGTATATGATAATGTTTAAAGCAAACATATCTCAGATGATCATGAGATATTACTCAGTAGAAGCATAGAGAACTGCTATTACAGTAATTTTATCGATGAACAAAAACTATGAAAGTTAAAACATCTACCATTTGTGGGTCTTCACCAACACAATGTAGAAAGTCATAATGTTGTAATGGCCCTTAGTTTTTAAAAAGATCACCATTTTAACTGAAAATATCCAATGGCTATGTTTGTCATTAATGACAGGTACGTAGGCAGGGAGGAAGGCAGGTGGACAGGTAGAGCAAGCTAACTGTGGGAGAGAAGAGATGAAGCCACCTCTGTTTCTGGCTGTCAGAAGGAAATCGGGTGTTTAACTGGCCTCGACCACCCACAACCTCTGTCAACTATGACATTTTTGAGCAGTAATTACCTGCCATAATCTCATTTGTTTCCATTTGTTGGATTCCTGTGTACACAGACAAAAAAATTATTCAAGCTCCTCTTATTTATTTGTAGAAAAGTCAAATACTCCAATTCCTGATTACTTTCAAATAGCTGCGGCAATGTACATACTTGAAATTCATATTAAACCCAACTGTGTATGCCATAATAACCACTTTATATTAACTGAAGATAAAAAATTACATAAAATAAAAATATCCTAGTCCTCTCGGGATTATCAGTTTATCTGCTGTCATAGATTAAGTTCATGAAAAAATTGTTAGCAGAACATGCTAACGATACATTTACCCACCATAATCAGAAGAGCAAAAAAAAAAAAAAAAAAAAAGGGGGTGGGGGTGGGTGCCTCATGACTAAAACACTTGAGGTAAGAAAAACAGAAAAAAAAAGCATCAGGTTTGTTGATGCAAAATGATGTCGAGTAAGTCTTTCTTATGGTTCTATCTCCTCATTTATAGAAGGTTTACCACTGCTTTTCTCTTTTCAAGATAAATGCAATAAACTGAATGTCATACTTTGTGCTGTTGTGAACCTACCAGGCAAATGGGCACAATGAAAAATTCTAATCATCATCTAGGATGAGTAGTTTCCCCACTTCCAAAAAGCTTGGAGGTGGGTTGCAGGAAAGGTGAAAGCTACCAGGCTGTAAAAATACATATAAAGACACAGAGCGGGGGGCTTGGGTGGCTCGGTCAGTTGAGTGTCCGACTTCAGCTCAGGTCATGATCTCACAATTTGTGGGATGGATCCCCACGTGGTTGGATTTCTTAATGCCCCTCTTCTGCTCTCCTTCTCTTTCAAAAATAGACATTTAAAAATATATATATATATACACACACACATATATATATATGCCCATGCCAAGCCCCTTCTAAGACCTACAGAACCAATGGCTTGGTAGATAGGTTTATTTTGTTATGTATTATGTAGTTTTTGGAATAAGCGTTTACGTTTAGATAGTTCTTTGTAAAAAAAAAAAAAAATTAAATAATGTCTCACACTTGGGGAAAAAAAGGCAAAAATTCAACCCACAGGCAGAAACACCCAGAAATACCACATTAAGCTTGAAAGGGATTCTATATGCCATCCAATGTATGTTTTAAACGGAAAGAGCAAAATTTAACTTTGTACTTAAAATGAAGCTGAAGTGAAAATAAAGGAAAAACGGCACTTAAATCTGTGTTTCTTTATAGAGACACCACTTTCCTAAAAATTCTTCTGAGGTTAAGAATTTGAAAAACCATATTTTAAACAGATTCTCTGAACTACAGGCTTCAATTTTAGATGAAGAAGATTCCTTGTCCCCCTTTTGTCGAAGTGTCTAACATTTGCATTCTATTTGCATAGTTGTTTACTCTTGGTCTCTCTGATTAAATTTTAACAATTGGTGCTGATGCATCGATTCTTTCTTTCGAAACGCTGCCCCCTCTTGGCTTTCTGGCAATGACGCTAAAGTAGAGGAGCCCGGACCAGCCTGGCTGATGGCCTCCCCTCCCTGGCGTGACTTGCTTTTTTCCTGTCTGTCTGTCTGCAAAATTCTTTTTTTCTGAAGTCTGACAGTTAACTAGGAGTCAGCTCAGGAGTTTGTTACTAGACGAATTTTAGGTCGTCCCCCCCCCCCCCCCCGCTTAGAACACAGTGACCTTCTCTATAAGGAGATGCATTTTGTTTCTTCCAGACAACTTTTCTTTGTTTGTATCTTCAAATAGATCTATCTTCTGGCCAATGTTTTCTTTGGGGTGGGCTCCTTTATGGACACCAATTATCTTTACGCTGGGCCATCCTTACAAGGATTTAAATTCCTCCCATCTTTTTGGGTTTTTCTTTTCTTTTGCTTTCTCTAGAACTATCTCAAGCTTTTCCCGGTGTCAGTCACTAAATTTTCAGGCCATTAAATTCATTACTGTTTCAAATTTATTTATTTGTTTTGGATGAAGATTGTTTTGTCCTCATCTGCTCCCTTAGCTCCATATTTCCCATTTCGTTTCATTTTATTGTCCCATATTAGGTTTGAGCTGTTCCCTAAGTTTATGATCTTGGGGCACCCAGGTGGCTCAGTTGGTTAAGTGTCTGACTCTTGATTTTGGCTCAGGTCACTATCTCACGGTTCGTGGGTTGGAGCCCCGCATCAGGCTGTGCGCTAACAGCACGAAGCCTGCTTGGGATTCTCTCTCCCTCTCTCTTCCCCTCCCCCACTCACTCTCTCTCCTCTCAAAATAAACAAACATTAAAAAAAATTATAACCTTATTAAGTTCAATGCTTAAAAACTTTTTTCTGAGGTAATATATATTTTTTGTCTTTCTTTTTTTTATTATAGTTTATTGTCAAGTTGGTTTCCATAGAACACCCAGTGCTCATCCCAACAAGTGTCCTCCTCCATGCGCATCACCCCCCTTCCCTCTCCCCCACCCCCATCAGTCCTCAGTTTGTTCTCAGTATTTAAGAGTCTCTTATGGTTTGCCTCCCTCCCTCTCCTTAACTATTTTTCCTCTTCCCCTCCCCCATGGTCCTATGCTAAGCTTCTCCTGTTCCACCTGAGTGAAAACATATGGTATCTGTCCTTCTCTGCCTGACTTATTTCACTCAGCATAACACCCTCGAGTTCCATCCACGTTGCTACACATGGCCAGATTTCCTTCTTTCTCATTGCCATGGAGTATTCCATTGTATAGATAAACCATATCTTCTTGATCCATTTGTCAGTTGATGGACACTTAGGCTCTTTCCATGTTTTGACTATTGTTGAGAGCTCTGCTATGAACATTGGGGTACATGTGCCCCTGTGCATCAGCACTCCTGGATCCCTTGGGTAGGGGAGTTCTAGTGTTAATTTTTTGAGGAACCTCCACACTGTTTTCCAGAGAGGCTTCACCAGTTTACATTCCCACCAACAGTGTAGGAGGGTGCCCGTTTCTCCACATCCTCTGAGGTAGTATTTTAAGGCTGAATTGCTTAGTTTGTCTTTTCATGTTCTGTGTGCTTTTCTACTGCCTAAGACATTGGGGGAGGGGAAGAGGGTGGTGTTCACTGGAGAGTACGTTATTAACAGTTTTTTTTTTTCTTTTTTTTTTTTTTTTACAAATAGTTTATTGTCAAATTAGTTTCTACATAACACTCAGTGCTCATCCCCAAAGTGCCCTCCTTCATGCCCATCCCCCCCTCCCCCCCACATCCATCAGTCCTCAGTTTTTGTCAGCATTCAAGAGTCTCTCATGGTTTGCCTTAACAGTTTTTTTTTCTGAGCTGCAGTCATGCCTCTCAGATTTTGTCGCATCTCCTCTAACAGAGTGCCCACTCCTTGCTCGGGGGATAAAGTCCATTCCACCATGGGTGGCTGGGATGACTCTGCTTGTTGGATCAGGCTCTAAATCCGAGGCCTTTGTTGTCACTGTGGCTGTGAAGGGAGAGGGCGGTGGAGGGGATCAGAGACAATGTAAACACAGGGAGGGAACCGGCACATCTGAGGTGCACATCACACTATCATTGTAGAGCTGGAACTGGATCAAGTTGTGTGTCTCCCTACGGGCTGCTCCCTTGGCTCTCAAGATTGGGGCAGGAGTGCACAGAGTGGATGGCTAAGCCACCGGGCTACGGATTACAGACAGAAGCCTCCTCCCGGGAACCAATGGCTGGAGCAGTAGGAGGTGGCAGACCCTCGGGTCTTCAAGAATGAAGCACCCAGTGTAGTTTTTCATCATGATCAATCTCAAATACATCCACCGGAGAGTGACGAAAGTTATTTTTACCTGACCTCCCAT